ATTCCTTCTCCTGCCCTGTCAAGTTAATTACCTCAGCTTGGTTTGTTTGGATTTTTAGTTACAGTTTGTATGTACCTTGTTTTGGACTGAATTTTCTACCGTTAAAGGCTGTTCCTTGGAGAGTTTTTTTTCCAGCCGAAGGTAACCTGGACATTGTGGGCAAAGTTGGGAGATAATAAAGGGACCCTTCTTGCTTATTTGATTGTGTTGCCTTTGTGCCACGCCCCTTTGGGTCATCACAAACAGTCACTAAAGGAATGGTCATAAGTCGAGAACTATCTGTGTTGTATGAAATTGTCTTGAGTGACCTTTGGGGCTATTTCTCAATCTAAACGACCATGCAGGGTTGATGATGATGAGAAAACAAGAAAAGGGATGAATCCTTCAAACTTCTGAAGAAAAGTCCTAAATAAATACACATTTCACGCTAAAAAATGGAGTTCGTTACTAAACGGATTGTTGTAAGGGGAGAATTATCTGGAAAGCATTGTTTTTGATTCGTTGGTTTTAATAGGCTTTCCTCCCCCCTCCACAATGCGGTGAGGTTGTTGTTTCTTCAGCCCCGATTTTCTAATGTCCCAAACGTGCATTTTTAAATCAAGGAAAGACACAGCATAGGGGAGTTTAAGCAGCAGAAACATTCCAGTTCTATTTTAGTCTTAATTTGGGGTTGTTTCCCCACCCCAACAGCTGTCTGCTGCCACTGCAGTCCTACCAGATATATTATCCACCACTTCTGGAGTAGGCTTCCTTAACGCCCACATTCCCCCTCCAAAATGGGCCTTGTTTTGTTTTTTTAAGTGTGACGGTTGTAGTTTTGTTCCCCTATTTCCTAGCATACGTGGTTTCTGCATGCTTTTTCAAAAAAAAAAAAAGCTGCTTTACAGGTCCTCGACGTATGACTCTTCATTTAGCGACGGCACTTAAAAAAAGGTGACTTCGCACAATGGTTGTGTCAACCCTGAAGCTGACCCAACCGAGGCCATTTTGAAGCTTCAGTGTTGCCACACTGGAGCCGAGGGATAGGGAGGAAGAGGGGAATAGAGATAGCTGGGGATTTGTAGCCAAAGCAAAATACTTTCTCCTGGGAACCAAGGGCATTTCCACAGGTGGCTGGATAGAGGAGGAGCGAAATTACTAGGCAAACGGACAGGACCTTGATTGACTGACTGTCTGGGAAAAGGGAGGAACGTTTAATTAGGGGAAAACTGCAGGAATATTCAGAGTCAGTTTTCACCATCTTATGCCAATTATGATATGTCCAATAAACCAATTCTTTGAGGAACCTACCTATTTATTATGGATGTGTTGGAACCCTGACAAATCATTTAGTGGCAGTTCAAAGTTACGACGGCACTGGGAAAAGTGACTTACGACCGTTTTTCACACTGACAACGGTTGCGGCATCGCCATGATGACCTAATCAAAAACGGGGCGTTTGGCAAACGGCCTGTTTTATGATGATTGCCACATCCCGGGGATCATGTGATTGCTGTCTGTGATCTTCCCAGTTGGCTTCCAACAAGCCAGGCCAACGGGGAAAACTGGTGTGATGACCTGGAGTGTAACACAAACGTAACAAAATCCAAAACGTAAATATACGTCCTTTAATGCCTCCAATTGGCCCCACTGGTTCAATAATTCTCAGTTGGAGATAAAACGTACTCAAAAACAGTCTTCAAAAGAAAGCAATACAATCTGAACTTAATGAGCAGATAGAGGTGAAATACAAAACTAAAACAAAGTACAATGAAGGAATTTCCACAACGGACCAGGATAAGTAATTACCAACTTCAAGGAGATAACAAGGCACAGTCTGTTGGAAGGACGCCAACCAAGATCAGCCCAAAATAAAACACGCTTTGTTTCTAGCAACACTGTGTTTTAACCTTCTCTCTTATATACTATTTTCCCCAGCTGCAACCAATGAGGGGATCATGGCCGCTTCCTCTCTCGTAAGCCAAGTTGTTTCCTTTTCCATTCCTCCCTGCGTGTTCTAGGATGCAGAGGGGATGGGCCTGGTTCTTCTCTGACTGACCAGCCAACCTCTGCCCTTCCCCAGCCTCCTCCACAACCTCAGGAGCCACACCTCCTCTCCCTGTCAGCTGTTCCTCCTCTCCCTCAGAGTCTGACTCTAACAAGGGCATGACAGCTGGATTTGATCAATGACCGCGTGATTCACCTAACGTGCAGTGTTCAATTAGTAACATGGTTGTTCGGTGAATCTGGCTTCCCTGTTGACTTTTGCTTGTCGAAAGTTCGCAAAAGGGGATCACATGACCCCAGGGACACTGCAACCGTCACAAATGTGAGTCAGTTGGCAAGCATCCGAATGTAAATCACCTGACCGTGGGGATGCTGCAACGGTCGTTAAGTGTGAAGAATGGCCATACGTCACTTTTTTCGTTGCTGTTGTGAGTTCAAACGGTCACTAAATGGAACTGTTGTAAGTCGAGAACTACCTGTACACATGGGCGGTTCTATAACTCAGTTTAAGTTGTTCCTATTGTCATGGATAACAGGTTTGTGTTATCTAAAGAGAACTCATTTTTATTCCATTTGGGGTAATTTCCTCAGATATGGAAAGCAGGTACAGGAATCAACAAGATTGAGGCCTAATTTTCTGGCCTGCTTCACGGCAGAAGACATTCAGGATCTGAGGCAAAGAGGAAACATTCCCAATTCTTGCTTCTTTTGGCTGGATAAGCTGGGAGGCTCCCTGGTGCATAACAAGAGAGACCCCCAAAGCAGGGGTGGGATTCAAATTTCCTAACAACCGGTTCTGTGAGCATGGCCTAATTTGTGGGTGTGGCTTGGTGATCATGTGACTGGGTGGCCATGGCTTGCTGACTGGGCATGGCTTGGTGGTCATGTGACTGGCTGGGCGTGGCTTGCTAGCAAATTTGATAATATATTTATGTAAATATTGGTTTTTTTTGTTTTTAAAAAGAGCAACTTTTACCCAAAAGCAGGCAAAGCAGGCAGGCAGATTGAGTTGCTCACAGAATCACAGACCCACTAAGATATCTATCTTTCTGCAATCTGCTACTTGAGTCTGTCACATAAAATTTGCTTGCAAGCAAACTCATAACATTAACTCACAACACACCATGTATATAAATATTGACTTTTTTTTATAAAAAAAGAGAAACTTTTACCCAAAAGCAGGCAAAGCAGGCAGGCAGATTGAGTTGCTCACAGAATCATAGATTCACTCAGAGATCTACCATTCTGCAATCGGCTGCCTGAGTCTGCACTGAAAAATAGAAACTTCAGTCCTAAGAAAGGTTCGGCTCTGCTTTTAGATTAGCTAGAAAGCAAGAAATCCAACGATTTCTAGCTAATCTAAATCTCCCGGCACAGCAGAAAAGCTGACGATTGGGGGGGGAAAAAGGGAAAAATATCAAGTTAGCAGGCAAGTTTTGCCAGGTAAGGAGTGAGTGGGCCGGGCCAGCCAGTGGCGCGATTTGCCGGTTCTCCGAACTGTGCAGAATCATAACAACCGGTTCTATAGAACCGGTCCGACCAGGTAGAATCCCACCTCTGCCCCAAAGGAATTCCCCCAGGGTGGGCCAAGATACCTACTTCCGTGCCCGTTTCTCTCCAGTCCCACGTTCGGCTGCCACCGGGCCATACTTTACAATCTTTATAGGTTGTGGGGCAGCCTCTCACCGTCATCCGTCCCCATGACAGAGAGGCAATTTCAGGGGAAGACATAGCTGGGCGGGTGTCTGAAAGGGAAAGAGAAGAACAAGAGGCAAAAGGATAACAGAACAGAAAAACAGAATAAGAGTTGGAAGGGACCTTGGAGGTCTTCTAGTCGAACCCCTGCTCAAGTAGGAAACCCTATCCCATTTCAGACAAACAGCTGTCCAATCTCTTCTTTAAAAACTCCAGTGTTGGGGTATTTGCAACTTCCAGAGATAAACCTGCTACACCAGGGTTGGGCAACTGGCCCTTTTATGAATTATGGACTTCAACTCCCAGAATTCCTGAGCAAGCCATGCTAGCTCAGGAATTTTGGGAGTTGAAGTCCACAAGTCATAAAGGGGCCATAGTTGCCCACCTCTGTGCTACACCTATTCATCTCTACCCGTTACCTTTTGTCCCCTAGGGTGGGCCTTCACTAGCAGCAGTGGCTCTTCCGTCCCAAGGACCGGCCCATAGATTTCCACTGCTCTCCTCTCCTCTGTTTTCTGCTCAGCTGCAGATTGAGTGCCCACAACTTCTGCAGGCAAGTTGTTCCACTGATTGTTTCTGTCAGGAAATTTCTCCTTAGTTCTAGGTTGCTTCTCTCCTTGATTAGTTTCCACCTGTTGCTTCATGTCCTGCCTTCGGGTGCTTTGGAGAATAGCTTGACTCCCTCTTCTTTGGGGCAGCCCCTGAGATATTGGAAGACTGCTCTCATGTCTCCCCTAATCCTTCTTTTCATCAAACTAGACCTACCCAGTTCCAGCAACCGTTCTTCGTATGTTTTAGCCTCCAGTCCCCTAATCCTCTTTGTTGCTCTTCTCTGCACTCTTTCCAGAGTCTCAGTATCCTTTTTATATCGTGGTGAACAAAACTGGATGCAGTATTCCAAGTTTGGCCTTACCAAGGCATTATAAAGTGATATTAATAGTTTATGTGATCTTGATTCCATCCTTACGCAGTCTAGGATTGTGTTGGCTTTTTTGGCAGCTGCAGCACACGGCCGGTTCATGTTTAAATGATTGTCCACTAGGACTCCCAAGATCTTCTCACAGTTACTGCTATTGAGCCTGGTACCATCGACACAGGATGAGAATTGGCTTTGCAAAAAGCCAGGGGTGAGCAATTATGGCAACTTTAGGCCCTGTGGACTTCAAATCCCAGAATTCCTGAGTCATGGAAAATTAATTCAACATAAAATTGCAGCGGAGATTATTATATGCACAGGAATGGAAAAAATCAGCATTGCCTACTATAGAACAGTTGGTGAAGTTGACAAGATTTTGCTGAACAAGATCAATTTACTTCTCTGATTAATGATATATTCTTTTTGCAATTTTTTGGTGTGCTTTAATCTTGGATGCCATGGGACTTAATGTTGTTTCCTCTTACATGTTAGGATTACATGTCACTCAGAATCAGTGTTACAAGATGGGCGGCTGCATAAATCTAATGTATTAATTGATTTGGAGGGTGCTACCCTTTTCAATTCCTGGTACAGACTGAACTTTCCTCCTTAAATTACAGAGATATAAAACAACGGCATTGGTGAATATTAAAATGGCTGAGAGATGGTTAACTTATTAGTTTTGTTCTTCTGTCATTTAAACTTAGAAATACATTTTATCTTTTTTGTCATGGCTCTGGCTTTATTTCGCTGTAATCTTTTTACATCTAATATTTTTTATTACCTTCTTTTACAACCTTGCTATTTTACGGCTATTTTATTTACTTGTCAATTTTCTACACTGCTCATCTCATCCTGATATTGATGCATTTATTCTGGTTGTGTTCTTTTGGTTGTGTTTGTTTACTTTATTGTTCTATTACCTTGTTTCTGTTCTGGACTTGTTTTATTTTTCTTCCTTTTTATTATTGTAAGCTATTCAATAAATTTAACCCAAGAAATACAGGCAGCCCTCACAATAGTTCATTTACTGACCGTTCCAATTTACAACAGCACTGAAAAAGTGACTTATGATCAGTTTTCACACTTACGACCACTGCAGTGTCCGCATGGTCATGTGATTGCCACTGACTCATACTTACGACAGGGACACGGGATCCCCTTCTGACAAGCCGAAATCAATGGAAGCCACATTCAGTTAACGACCATTGTTACTAACTTAACAGCAGTGATTCTCTTAACAACTGAGAAAGGTCGCAAAACGGGGCAAATGTCACTTAACAGCTGTCTTGCTTACCAACAAAAATTAAGGGCTCCATTATGGTCGTAAGTAGAGGACTATCTATCCAGTGACAAACACCCCACCCCATCCCTTTTTGCCCGCTTTCAAGGAAGCGGTGCCTCCCCGAAAGCTGCCAGACTACAGTTCCCATCATCCGCAGTGTGGCGGATGGGGAGCGATGGGCGTTGTAGTCCCCGCAGGCCCCCCCGCTCACCTGTCCAGATCACGCATCTGTCGCTCTCCCACCCCGTGTGGCAGGATACGCCCCCTCACGCCCCTCATTGGCCCAAGGCGACGTTACAAACACGGGCCGCGCCCACTAACAAACCTTTTCACAACCTCGGGTCCCCGCCCTCGCTGACGGCCACGCCCCCCTCCTTTTTCTTTTGGCGGAGGTGGGCGGATTCTCGACGTCCTCCCCTTCCCTCGTCCCTTATATTATGATTGCGCCCCTTTCTCAGTCGCCGCCGGCGAGATTGGCTCGGGTGGCGTTCTCTCCCCGCCCCTTTTCCGCTCCTCCCCCCTCCCCCCCCCCCCCCGCCTCCCCGCCCCACCCCGCCAGCCTCCCCCTGGTTCCCCCGTCTCTCCCACATCACAAACCAACGAGAGAAAGAGAGAGAGAGAGAGAGAGAGAGAGACCAGGCGTGCTATCCGGGCCGCTCTTTCCCAGCGCGGCTTCTATTCCTTCCGCGGCTTCGTCTCCTCTCCTCTCGCGGAGCCCGACGGGAGAATGGCGCCTGGGTCCCGCTTCTCCGCCACAGCGCCCCCTGCTTTCCTCCTTCGCGTGCGCCCGCCGCCCCGCCTCTCCTCCTCCTCCTCGTCCACCTCCTCCATCCATCCATCCTCTCAGGTTCCAAGATGGCGGCTGCGACGGCGGCGGCGGCGGCGGCTCCCCCTTCCCCGCCTTTCCCTGCCGCCCCGCCGCCGGAGGGCTCTTCCCGCCCGGGCTCTTGGCCCAACTTCGCCGTCGTCTGCTCCTTCTTGGAGAGGTACGGCGCCCTCCTCGACCTGCCCGAGCTGCCGTTCCCGGAGCTGGAGCGCGTTTTGCAGCCGCCTCAGGAGCCCGGCGACCAGGGTAAGGCGAACCCGGAGCGAATCTCCCTCAGCTTCGGCCTCGAGCGGCTCCTCGGAGCAAGGAGAGCGAGGCCTTCTTTTTCCTCACCACCGCCGCCGCGGGCCCCGCTTCCCTTTTCTCCGGGACGCCGCCGTGCCTTCCCCCGTGGCCCGGCCGGGCCTGCCTCCCTCAGCGCCGGGGAGACCCAATTTCTCTCTCTCTCGGCCTCTCGGGGGGGTCGTCGTCGGTCCCTTTTGTCCCTTCCTTCGGGAGTGGGGGAGGATTCGCCTCGCGGCCTTGCTCGGATCGGGAGGTCGTCCCCGCGTTGTGCTGCCTTCGCACGAGACGCCGAACCCGGGTCGGACCCTGAGGGACTCCCGGGGCTCCGGGGGAGCCAAAGGGGGAGGGTTTTCCTCCGTCCCCTTCAGCTAAATTGGGATTGATCAGCCTGGGAGGGGGGGGGGAGAGAAGGGGATGATGGGCATGCAGTGGAACATGGATACAAAATGCCTCTTTCCTCTAACCAGCAAACTGCTCCTTGGTTTGGAGAATCCGATCTTCCTGGTACTTTGGCATCTCTTTGCTTTATTGCTATTATTATTTATTATTATTATTTGATCTTCCTGGTACCTTGGCATCTCTGCTGTATTATTATCACTATTTGATCTTCCCAGTACTCTCTGTGCTGTATATTTTATTATTATTATTATTATTGTTATTACTATTACTACTACTATTTCTTTTATTCATTAAACATGAAACTCAGTCAACTGAACATTTAAAAATGTTTCACAAATACCATTAACTGGCGCTGATGGTTGATGCCAGCATCCTAGGTATATCAACCAAGTATCTTATCATCATCATCAGATCTTCCTGGTACTCTGGCATCTCTCTCTTATTATTTTATCATCATTGTTATATTACACTTCATCCTGCCTTCTATAGATCATCATCATCATCGAATATTACATTTCATCCTGCCTTTTATAGAGATAAATATATGTGCATGTACACCTTTATATGCACATGTAAATGTATGCATGTGTGTATGTATATAAACGTGTATGTATGTGCAGGTAGTCTTCGACTTATGACCATAGCTGAGCCCAGAATTTCTGTGGTGAAGGGGAACATTTGTTAAGTGAGCTTTGTGCCCATTTTTACGACCTTTCTCGCCACAGTTGTTAAGTGAATTGTTGCGGTTGTTAAGCTAGTAACGTTGTTAGGTGAATCTGGCTTCCCCCATTGATTTTGCTTGTCAGAAGGTTGCAGAAGCGGATCATGTGACCCTGGAAACCTGCAACCGTCATAAATATGAGTCGGTTGCCAAACAGCTGAATTTTGATCACGTGACCACAGGGATGCTGCAGCGGTTGAAAGTGTGAAAATTGGCCATAAGTCACTTTTTTCAGTACCGTTGTAACTTTGAACAGTCACTAAATGAGCTGTTGTAAGTCGAGGACTACCTACATGTATGTGGATGGATGGATGGACGGACAGACAGACAGACAGACAGACATGCACACACATGCAGATATATAAGTCAGGGCAATGCATGCATCTAACTGACCTGCTTCCTATTTTCCCCACAACAACCACCCTGTGAGGTGGATTAGACTGAGGGAGAAGGGCTGGTCTAAAGTCACCCGGCCAACTTTCATGGCTAAAGGAGACCTAAAACTACTCACAGTCTCCTGGTTTCTAGGCCAGGATTTCAACCAGGTGGAGGAAAGATTGGGACTCTTTTATCCTTAGAAACCCAGGACTATTAATTAGTCTCCATACGTTCTTCCTTTTGTTCTGTTCTCCCTGAGTTCCCTTTGTAGGATCTGTTGCCCCTGCAGCAAATATCCCCAGGATATTGGAAAGGTACCTTCTTAAAAAATCAAATGGGTGCACACAAAGGGTTAATCGATACTCCTGTTTTTTAAGTGTAACAGTAAAAAGCAGGTGGAGGTTCCACTTCATGATTGTGTCTGCCATCTTGAGTTTTTTGACTGCATCCCGCAGACATCCCTGATCTGCAGTTCTCTCATCTCACAACCCTTCCCTAAGTGGCTTTTGTCACACGGACCAATTTCTGACAACTTTCGGAGATTGTGGTTGCCCCATCACTGGAGGCTTTTAAGAAGAGATTGGACAGCCATTTGTCTGAAATGGTGCAGGGTCTCCTGCTCCAGCAAGGGGGCAGGACTAGAAGACCTCCGAGGTCCCTTCCAAGTCTGTTACTCTGTGTTGTTATTCTGTGTTCAATGTTTCTCAACGTCAATACTTTTAAGAAGTGTGGACTTCAACTCCTGTCCTCTTCAGATTTGGCTACCTTCTTCTCAGGTTCTCTCTGTTGGCTTTTGAGTGTCGTTTTTTTTTTTTTTCCCTTTTCCCCAGTAGGCATCTTCTCTTGGTGTGTGCGTTTTTGTGTGTGCCTCGCAGAAAAAAGGAGGCATCTTCAATTTCAGTTGCTCCTTGTCTGATTCCAAATTTGGGTTACTTTTATCTCTGGTTGTCCTATTCTAGCAAATCCATAGATAGACCTAGGTGTTTTCATGCTTCCTGAACTTTTCCATTCACTGCATTCCTCTACCAAGGACTTGTTAAAAAAGGATGGAGGCTAAAAAGTTTTTGGTGAAATGGTTGGTTGATTTATTGATTTATTTATTGAATTTATATATTGCTCATCTCCACATCAAGCAACTCTGGGAGGTTTCCATGTTGTTTCTCAAAGTTGCTTGAAACTAGACATGGTGTAGCACAGACCTGGATATTTTATAGCCCCCCCCCCCCCCCCCCCCCATCGATGTGACGGAATCAAATGTAAATAAGGGTACACTTCATGCACACAATACAACTGCAGTGCTTTTATTTTGAAGACTGCCTACACACCTTCACAAGCCTATTGGTTTGGCTCTCCACAATAGTCTTTGTTTGTCCCCTTGGGAAAATTAATTGCCCACCCTTGGTCTAGCAGCATTCATGGCTCCATTTTTTTGGCCAGCCACCAATAGTTCAGGTTATGGTCAAATCTGACACAGTGGTGAAGGTGTTGGATGTGCCTTGGAGAGATCAAAATTCTTCTCCATTATCTCCCACCGAAGCTTTTTGGGTGACCAAACCAGCCATTTTTCTGAACCCAGACTATGTTATTGAAAGAAATGGGAGGTTGGCTCATTGTGTACAATGCCTTAAACTACTGAGCAAGAGGTTGGATAAAAATCCAACAAGTAAACAAACAAACAAAATAGGTAGGGTGACCACAAAGGCATTTCACCTGTTCTTAACCAAGAGGCCATATCTTGGGAGACAATTATAACTTAATCCTTCTGATTAACGTACATAGATGGAGGGAAATTGGTACATTTGAAAGACAGCAAAAGATGATGGAGATTTTTGTAAAAGAGAAAGAGTACACAATAATCCACTCACTGCCTTAAAACTTCTCTTTAGTTCACAGGCTGTATGTGTATTATGTATGTATTTTTGTTTGTTTATTATGTCATCCATCTCTCAATAGGGTGACTTTTTAATTTAAGTGTATGCATATTTGTGGTTGAACAGCTATCTATTTTATTTTTATTTATTTATTACGTATGTATTTATTTATTACGTATGTCATCCATCTCTCAATAGGACAACTTTTTTTACCTTTAACTGCATGAATATTTGTGGTGGAACAGATATTCTATCTATCTTATCTATCTATCTATCTATCATCTGTCTGTCTCTATCTCTGTCTGTCATCTATCTCTCAATATGGCAACTTTTTTACCTTTAAGTGCATGAATGTTTGTGGTCAAACAGCTCTCGCTCTCTCTTTACTGCTTATTTCCTAAACATGTCCAAATGATTCATTTTGAGGTTGTTTAAAAATGGTGTGGGTAGGCAGGAGAAAATATCTGTTGTTTTCTGCACTTTTTAGAGATTTGTTTCTGTTCCTGCCTATGTTTCCTGCCGTCCTACAGACATAGCCGCATGCATGGCACGTTAACCATCCAAGCCTCTCCATAAACTTCCTTTTCTTGTAGAATATCAGTTCAGATATACAGAACACTCAAAAGATGCCGACAAACCTGCTATTCTCAGAGTAGTTAAGGATGGTTGTTATGGGTTTTTGCTAAGGGCAAAGAAAGGTTCGTGTTATTTTAAAATCAGTCTGGAAGAGCGGAGTAAATCTTGGAGTAACTTGGAGAACCTTTCAGGGAGTCTCCCATCTCTGGTCTTCCATCTTCCATCAGTGAATCATCGAAACCACTTCCTCCCCTTCCCCAATCCTAAAGTTTCTACCGAGGGGGATTTTTGTGTGCTGTCCTTTTAAAAGATTGAAAATTCACAGCGCCCGGTTTCTTTGTTGCTTTTGTCCTTTTCAAATAGGCCATCAAAACAATTCAAATCTTAAACGTAGCTTTTAATTGCTTGGCTATGGAGCCTGGCACCCAACGGTAATTTCCAATAAAATTATAAATACCTTCTCATTGATTCTATATTCTTTGTTATAGCCTTAACGTTCTTTGCAAAAGGGGAACATAAATTTAGATTGTTTAAATATAACTAGATATGCTTTTGATACATACTTGTTAAGTCTCGGAATACAGAAAAGTCTTAAGCATTAAAGGGATTGTATCTACTATTTGTATCCCATACACTTCTGAAATTGATAGGTTTTTGTGCAGTTCCGTTTTTCATTTACTACGATAATTATGGGTTGTTGTTTTTTACTTTGTTGCCGGAATATACAAATTGATGCATATACAGGTAGTCCCCGACTTACGTCCACAATTGAACCCACAATTTCTGTCGTTAAGTGAGGTGTTTGTTAAGCTAGTTTTGCCCCATTTTACGACCTTTCTTGCCACAGTTGTTGAGTGAATCACTGCAGTTGTTAAGACAGTCACATGGTCGTTAAGTGAATCTGGTTTCCCCGTTGACTTTTCTTGTCAGAAGGTCCCAAAAGGGGATCACGTGACCCCAGGATGCTGCACCAGTCATAAATATGAGTCAGGTGCCAAGCATCAGAATTTTGATCA